GACGCTTAATAATAGTAACGCGCTACGTGCAAATGGCCACAGCTTGTAATAGACCTAGGCACAGCCCAGTTAACACACACACATACACACAGGCACAACAAATATCAAATATGGCACCAAGTGGCCAGGGCCAAGACATGAAACCAGAGTCGCAGCTCGAGTCGAAGTTGGGTCTGAAAATGGGTTCATGTGTTATTGTTTATACTGTGTGTGTGTGTGTGAGAGAGTGTGTGTGCGTGTAGTGTTTTTATAGTTGTTGATGTTTTTTTATAATTACTCTCAATGGAGGTTACGCCGTGTAAGCGCGTGTGTGCGTTGTTGTTGTTGTGGGTTTTGGCATTGTTGTTAAGCACACATAACGGTAATTTAATTAACATGCATAAACACACACACACATGCACGCCGAAAATGTGGAACGCTTTGGGGCATTGTTATACTTACAAAGCAATTGACGAGTTGCCACTTGTAATCGATATTTCAATTAAATGTTATTTTTACATTTTTAATTAGGCCTGTTTCTAAGCAATATGTTATACACAATGAAAGCTGCTTTGTTATATTTTTTATGTATTTTAATTAGGCCTTTTTCTAGGCAATATATTATAAACAATGAAAGCTGTTTTTATACACAATACCTATATTTTTTTTTAATATTTTTTAATTAAGTCTTTTTCTATGTATATATTATATTAAAAACAATGAAAGCTGCGTAAATATACAATATCTATGTTCTTTATTCTTTATTTATAATTTTTAGACATCTATAAACAAGTTATGTTTCTTGCTTTGTTTTTATTTTACATAAATGTTTGTTTTTGTTTTGTTATTTATTTGTTTTTGATTTTTTTTTGTTCTTAAATTCTTCGCATCATTGATATTTAGTTGCTCTGAGTATTAATTTATTTTCGATTTATTATAACTCATTCATTTTTTACACTTAAGAATTTGTTTTCAATACTTTTGCAGCAGCTATTTTTTATTATTATGATAAATTGATGAGCTCTAATTTTGTATTTTGTAATGTTTTAATACTTTTTTTATTATGTTTTTGTTGTTTATTAATTTTCTTAAGGCTTGTTATATATTTTTTATTTTATCAACACACGCAGAATTTTGTTAAAAGCTTTTTTATACTTATATTTTTTAAATATTATATGTATTTTTGCTGTATTTGTTTATAATATTTTATTGAAACTATTTTTTTTTTTTATATATTGTACTTAAATATCATAGCGGCATATTTTTTATATGCTTAAAATGTGTTATATATTTATTAAATATTTTTTTATATTAAATATATTTACATATTTTTTAACAATACGCGAAAAACCCACACACAACTAATGCAATAATTATTGTTGCATTATTTTTGAGTAAAACACGCGTTAATTGTCTAAAAGCGCGCCGCATGCCGCCGATAGATGCACGTTGCGCGCAGCAGAGATGCGAAGATAGACGAGACACAACCGTTATGTGGCGCGTTCAGCGAGCGAATAACAAAACAAAGCCCGCAAATGCTGCTACCAATATAAAAACAGTGTTGCCGTGCGGCAAGTGACGCATGCGCTGCGGACAGTGAGCGCCAGCAGTTTTTTGTGTGTGCCTGCTGACAAAACATCTGTGTTTTTGTTATGCTTGCAATAGTACATGTCTGTTTGCCTGTGTGTGTGTGTGTGTGCGTGCGTGTTGTGGCTGCTAAGACATTTCCCGGAAATGAAGCAGCAACAACAACAATTAAATTGCGCTCACTGTGTGTGTAACAGTTATTTCAATTAAATGCAAGCAGGCAGTGTGTGCATATGTGTGTGCGCGTGTGTGTTTACTTATTTATTTTTTCTTGCCTTGACAATTGCCAAATAATTGGAGCGGCAATGACAACAACAGGACAACGGGCCAGGACATGAACAGGACATGTTTGCGACACGTTGCCTGCAAATGAATTAAAATGACAAACTGGCTAAATTTCTGTGCGCCGGATGTGCAGCAGGCGCAGAGGCAAATACCATGACTTAACATTGAGCCGCACACACACACACACACACATGCGCCTAAAGTCAAGGTTTTTGGCTGCCGTTCAAAATGCGCTGGCACGTGGCACGCGCTGCTTGTTGGCGCGCCTTGCCAACTAAGCCAGGCGGCAGCTGCATATGCAGGCAACAGCGAACCAATCACGCCGCTCTCTGCCACATGCAGCGCATGAATGGACACAAAAAAAAGTAAGAGGTTCTAGTCGGGAGCTCTCGACTAGGGGATACTCTGAACCCTCTTCTTCCAACATCAAATGCATATACTTATATATTTTATTTTAGAAGCTATATGTCAAGTTTGGTGACTCTAGCTCTTATTATTTACCAAAATTGCCCAAAAAACAGGATATCGATATCGATTTTTATCGATTGCTTGGAAACGGAGTAAGTTATCGATTATCGGAAACAAACTCGATCTGCGCAGGCACTAGGAGCATCTACATCTAAATTTCAAGTCTCTAGCCCTTATAGGTTCTGAGATCCTTGTGTTCATACATACGGACGGACGGACGGACGGACAGACAGGCGGACATAGCTAGATCGACTCGGCTATTGGTGCTGATCAAGAATATATATACTTTATGGGGTCGGAGATGCTTCCTTCTGCCTGTTACATACATTTGGATTTTGCACAAATACAATATACCCTTATACCCATTTTTAATGGGTTCAGGGTATAAAAAAAGCACCACACGGTACAAAATATTTGAAAAAGGTCGCGACGTCGCCTGCAACGCTCATCCAATGTCAAGTGCATGAGAGCAATCGGTGTCGCAGCCTTGACAAAAAAAAACAAGTAAGTGTCGGGAGTGCACGACTAGATGATACCCCGAAACATCTTTTGCCAACAACAGAGCTTGTCGAAGCTTTAACAAAGATATATGATTGAAAAGCCAGCTATACCAGAAGCTATACGCTATATGCTATATTTTGCGTCTCTAGCTCTTAAATCCTAAGCAATTTGATCAGCAAACAGAATTTCGATAACGGTTTTTATCGATTGCTTGTTACAAAAGAGGGGTTATCGGTTATCGATAACAAACTCGTATGGCGCGTGCACTAGGAGAATCTAGAGAATTGAGACATTCATAAAAACGGACAGACAGGCGGACGGACATGGCAAGGTCGACAATCTTTTGATGATGATCAAACATATATATATATACTTTATGGGCTCGGAGACTCTTCCTTTTCACAGACACAACCATTTGCACAAAACCCTTATATAATTTTTACCAATATGCAATGGGCTCAAGCTATAAATGGTATATTCTGTCGAGTTTAACGTACACACTTAGTTAATAGGGAATTTAACAGTTAAATAAGTCGCAGGGATTATAGGTTGTGACTCCAAAACTGTTATCATAAATCTGTGAGTTTCAAATTGTAAATTGCGAAAATCCGATTTTGGCTTATGGAAGCGTGGGGCAGTGTTTACTTTCAAGTCTATAATGCCCCCTTTGACATGGTGACTAGCGTATAAAAGGGCTCTATATATGGGTCCGGGGACGGAGGGATTGCACTTAACATGCAATATTGGCAACGTAGGCCATTAAGCGGGAGGAGGGGGAGCAGCGTTTGTTTGCGGACGGCAAGCGACCCCTAAATGGACAGTACCCAGTCTCACGGAAATGAGCGTATCTATATTTTATGTGTCATCGGTTGCATTCTCATATAGAAATGCTCCCAGCCATCCCAATCCAAGCCCCTACCTCCAACTAAGTTAACTGCTTTCGGGCTGAAAATCAATTTGTGCAAGCAATTTGTGCTAATTTGTCCTTTGGTTGTCCTCGAGTGTATACTGTCAGCAAGGATATGGGCATTAAATGCTAACTGAGCATTAGATTGCCAAAACATTTACCTAAAATTATTTGACAGCAATCATCCAGTCATAAGCGATAAGTATTACATTTATAAAGCTATTTTTTAACCATGCGCTATGTAAATAAGTCGAAGGATAACTTTTACTATCTTTGGTTTAAGGCACATTCAATTTTATGATGTACTCAATTTGATGTCAGATCGTACTAAAAATAAAGTAAATTTCTAAAACTCATTGTAAATTTAACATGTCCTTAAGCATAATGTGCCACCAAATAGATTATTTCAATTGTAAATTGTTTAGTTTGCTTTGGTTATTCTTTTAGGTTGAAACGGTTGCAAAATTTACAAAGCACTTTATTTACATTGCAAATATTTGCAAAGGAAACATAAGAATAGTGTTTCCACCTAGAAGCCACCTCGCGACCAACCTATTGAAGAAGAGTTGCCATATTCACACAGAATTCGTAAATATTTTAAGAGCCTGATATACACAGTTTATCTTCATTGTAAATTTTAATCAACATAGCTTCAACGTTAGTTATATTCATTGTAAATTTAACATGCACTTTTACATAATGTTAAAACAAAGATAATATAAACTGCTTATGAAAGCTAAAAATCGACTGGCAGATTTGCGAAGCACTTTATTAACATTGTAAATCTGCAGTGTTGCCACCTAGCAGACATCTGTTTGTTAGCAGATTGAAGAAGAGTTGCCATATTGACAAAGAATTTGTAACATTTTTTAAGAGCCCGACTATACACATGCTATCTACCTTATCTACCTTTTAAGCATGTTTTCTTAAGTTCATTGTAAATTTAACATTCGATTTAACATACTTTTAAACTACAGAGAATGTAAATTGTTGAAATTGCTTTGGTTAAATAAAGACTATCTAAACTATTTGTGGTCGCTGAAGTCAACTGACAAAATTGCAAAGCACTTTATTTATATTGTAAATACTTGCAGCTAGCCGATTGAAGAGTTGCCACATTCACAGGCAGTTAAAATTCCTTAGAAAATAATCAACTGTAAACTACCCAAACTACCTTTCTCAGAAACGTGCCTCATCCCAACAATAAAAATAATTAATAAACATATACAGATTTTTAATTGGATCTGAGTTGAAGCAATCAAAAACAGAATGCTTTTGATTTTTCAGTTTGATATTTATTCATTGTTTACTATTCCTTTAAGCTTAGAACATAAGTCTTAAATTACAAAACGAATCATATTGTTGCGTTTAATTTCTACGAAGCAGATGTTTGAGTGATGTCTGATTAATCCATAAATAAAACACTTCATAAGGTTAAAACTTAAGACTAACTTAGAGTATATGGGGGGAAAGGAATCAATTTAACAGCTGCCAGTTCTCAGTGTTTTCCCATCGTATAAGGAACGAACATAGATGTGATTTTATATATTAGTTGGCTTAGAATTTGGGGCCACAAACTGTGCTGCTCGGCGGCTGCTTGCCAAAAGCTCAAACTCAATACTTAAAATAGGGGCTGGGGCACAAAATGCGTACATAAATATGTTATAAATACAATTTAAAAATAATTTCAAAGAGTTTAAAATCAAAAAAATTACACAAAAACAAAACACACTCCCAACGGGGCGGGGCACTCGACATATTACCACGTTTTGGGCAAACTGAATACCCCGTAACGTTCATGGGCATCGACGCCGCGAACGGCGAAAAAGTAGCGCTGATTTTCCTGGAATTGATTCAGTGTAACCGCCATGGGCAACAGCATGGCCTTCACGTCGCCCACATGACGCCAGGAGTCCGTGCTGGGATCGTTGCTGGTCTCCTGGTAGGCATAGATTTGATACGTGACGCATTCCGCGAAACGGGGCCCCGTATCCTCCAGCGTCCACGAGATGACAATGCCCGTATCGTGCAAACTGATGCGTATAACGGGCCGAGATGGCGGCAGCTTCCAGTCCGGATGAAAGGTTTGCGGCGGCGCCAGCGGCAACGGCGCGGGATGCGTATAACGCATACGCGCCCCACTCGGCGGCGTATTTTCTGAGCGTATCTGCATGGTGACATTGGAGCCAATCGAACTTCGCTGAACTGTTAATGAGATGCCAATTAGTGATTGCTCCGAAATTGTAAGCTACATATTTGTGGTTCACACTTGTCCCTGAATCAGGCAATGCATTTGTATCCGCATTCTAGAATGTTCCTAATATAAATTTTCCTTTTTATAAATCCATGTTTACTTGATATGAAATTTGTGGTTACTCCTCGGTAAATGTTGCTGCTCCTCCTATTTTACCAACAACACTTGTCCTCCATTTTAACTTAATTCCCGAAAAAATCTGGATTCTATTACTAACCGACAGCTAGCAGAAAAGTTTGGGCCATTCATTTCTTTCGATTTCTGGTCCAAAGTGGACTTTGTTTTTGTTCGGGTCCGAGACTCGCTCGCTTTCTCCGAGAGCAAGAGAGTACGAAATCCATATTATTTGTGTGATAGAACGGTATTTTTTTGATTTTATTTCGTTCTCACTACAGGAAACTGCTTTGGCTTACTCTCAGTGCTCTCAATATGCTCTCTCATTATGTCTAGTGATAGTTTCAATGCATGTGTGTGTCTGTGTTCGCACAAGTAACAATGAGCGCAAATTGAACTTTTCCAAATTTCGGACGCGTTTCTTCCCTTTTGAAGGGACGAGTAATATGAAATAATCAAAAGGTCATTCATCAGATCATTTTGCCTCGTTATTGTTGGTAAGGGTACCTAAGCGTTGGCTTTTGTGCATTGAATTTTGTATATGGATCGAAGTATTTATGCCGTTGTGTGCCTGTTGGTTCTCTGCCTGTGCGATGCAAATTAGACTAGATTTGAAGTTTTTTAGATTTTTGAATTTCGACCTCTACACACACACACACACGCACGCACAAATGTATGGTAAGTGATTCTATACATTTTGCTGCATGTTGACATCTTTTTTTGCACTATTAGTGTCGAAACCAATTCAAGTTTGTCATATTTGTATTCTCTTAAAACTCACTTCACTTCATTTCCATTCAGTCTAGCACACATTTTTTTATAACTATATATTTGCATATATTCTCTATATATACTTTATGGGATCGCAGAGGAAGCTTTCGATAAACATTTTGCGATAAAATAATAATACCTCCTCGAGGGTATTCAACAAAATGTTAACACTCATGCAACATTAATATACATATCATTATGTACAAATTTTAGCATGAGTATGTAAATACAGTATTAACTGTAAATTGTTAGCATATAGAATATAAAAACAAGATAACACTTCCTACAGTTTTTGTTATTTTTTCCAATAAGCGGACAACTGCCCCCTTCAAATATCAATTTTATGATATGCAAAAACCAAAGTAGCTTTTATAGTCTAGCATGTCAAGCAATTGAAGGGAGTTTTCTGAAGGCAGGGGTTATACAAAAAAAACCAAACCGAAATAGGCGTATCTAAGGCGAGCTCGATCGAACTGAATTTTCGGACGAGTCGAGTTGAATTTGGACTCGCTCGAACTTTGTTTGAGTATCCGAATCGTACGTCGAGCTGATCAAATTTGAATCTTGACTCGCTCGAAGAAAGTTCGAGCTAATCATTTATGTTCTCACATCGGTAGAACCAACATTAGCTCAAGCCCGAGTTCGAACTTCGCTAGTATGAATGTCTTCGAACATGTTGGATCGTTTGTTCGAACACGGCTCAATAGTCGAAAGTTCGAGCCTGTTGGTTTTCGGCTTGATCGACTGAGTATTCAAGTTTGTTTCAAGTAATTTCATCAATGCTAGGCTCTAGTTTATACGCGAATCATATTTTCACATCTTATTTAATCTCTACTACCAAGTATTTTGGATAGAATCTCATAACGGAGAAAAGAGATTTCATATAAAATTGATATATACTGGGATACTATTACTTTTACAATCATAAATCTGTCTCAGCCTATAAAATATGGTAATGTTTTACCTGTTATCGGGACGTGTGTACCCAAGTAAACTCCACTTTTATGTAAATTACCTGGTCCATTGACAATCTGTCGGGCAACGGCATTGGCGCGCGGTATATTCATGGGCGACACACGCACTACGCTACCGCCCGCCGAACGTGAATTGGGGCCCATGGGCGGCGTCTGGAGGCTGCGTTTGGCGGCTGCACTTGGCGTTTGCCGGTGACGTGCACTGGCCTCCACGGCGGCAGCGGCAGCAGCAGCAGCTGCTGCTGCATCATCCTCATCGGTCAGATCGATGACGGCCTTCTCTTTGGGTCGGGCGGGCGCCAAACTGGGCTGACCAAACCCGGCGGCAACAGCGCCGCTGTCTGTGGCATTTGACATGGGCACCGAAACGGTGCCGCCGCCAATGGGCATGGCTCGGGGCTTGTTGTTGATGCTGATGGGCTGCTTGCCGGGACTGCGACCGATGCGCACGCTGCAAGGAAGGAATTAAGTTAAAGGAGCTGCAATCGGAAATAAGGAAGCAATAACTTACGGCAGGGGCTGTTGTTGCTGTTGCAGCTGCTGCTGTTGTTGCTGTTGCAGCTGTTGTTGTTGCTGTTGTTGTTGTTTTGGTGTCATGTATGAGCCGGGGTAATCCTTGCCAATTGGCTTAGCTGTGGTGCCGCGTGCGCGCATCGCTGCCGCGACAGCCGCAGCGGTTGCCGCGTTCGTGCCGCCCGTGTGCTTACTGGCGTACATGGGCCGTGATGTGACATGGGGCAGTGATTGGATGCGTTGCATGCCCTGGTTGGGGGAGCTCGCCTGCTGACCGCTGGGCGTGTTGTTCACGGGGCGCTGTGGCGTCACTTTCTGCATGCAGCCGCGTCGCACGGGCGGCGTGCCGCTGGTCTGCACGAAGGGTCGGGATGCATGCAGCGGCGGCGGCGTCTGCTGTTGCTGCTGGGTCTGCAGCAGCTGCTGCTGCTGCTGGTGATGAGGCGGACTGGGACCTGGTCGCGGCGCATTGTTACGCATGGGCGTGCGCATCGGTGAGGTGCTGGCCTTGGGCGGCGTTGGCATTCCTGCTGCTGCCGGCGCCGACATACTGCCCGCAGTATGGGCGCTGGCCTGGCTGCGCGCCTCCTCGCTGGGTTTCTTCATGAGGGCCATGCCCACCTGTAGACCGACGGCGCGCGTAATGCGCACGGGCGCCGTAAACTGTGCATTCTTCGTTTCCAAATCCTTGAGCACGCGCTTGTGCACCGTCTCCAGATCGAGAAACTGCTTGGACACCTCGGCTATCTTGCGGCGATAGTTGGCCAGCGTGATCTCGTGATTGTCGATCTGGCGTCGGATCTCCGCAAATTCGCTCTTCACCAGCATGCTCTCGACGACCTTCTGCAGCACCAGCTCCTCCAGATCGTGCCGTGTCATCTTGTCGAAGTTCTTGCGGAATTTCTTGATAAATTCCATGCGCAACGGCCTGACATCGGGCTTGAACTGCGGCTTTGGCTTCAAATCGAGCGCCAGCTCCGTTGGCTCCGCCTTCTCCTCGGGCTTGACTTTGGCTGACTCTGCAGCAGCTGCTACCGCTTCCGACTCCTGGGTATTGTCGTGGGCATCGAGATCAATTTGCAGCGTGCCATCGTTGGAGCTATTGGAATCAGAGTCGTCGGTCTTAAGCTTCTTGCTGGGCGTCTCCTCCTTTTCCACGGGACTGCTATTGGCTAGCAGGCTGTGACTGCGTTTGGCAACTGCGGGCAGAGCTTCCTCATCGTTGGTGGTTGTGTTGGCGGTGGTGCAGCTGGAGCTGCTGCTAGCCTCCGGCTTGTCCTCGGTGCTCAGTCGTATGCGCTTAACGGCCGGCAGGCCCGCATCGGGCTCATCCTCGGGCTCGTCGCCCACCATTTCCACATCGCCGTCTTCAGTCTCCGCAACGGGTTCGGCCTCAGCTTCGGCTGCGACCTCATCTCTGCTCTTCTGCGAGGGCTGCAGCAAATTGCTCGAGTTGCTGTCCACATCCTCCCCAGAGCTAACTTTCAGCTTTTCTTGCGTTTTGAGCTTCTCAAACTGATCGCAAGCATTGTCCGAATTGTCAGCTAACAAATCACTGCTTACGGCTCCATTCGCTTGGGAATCTGTTGCTGCAGTCGCAGCTGTTGTTTCAGACTTTTTACTTGGCGCCTCCTCCGGTTTCTTTGCGGGCGGCTGTTCATCTTCGTCCTCGGACACAAGGACTACCTCCTCCGCCTTCTTTTCGGCAGTTGACATATCCTTGACAGCTTCCGTTTTGCTTTCGTCTGCCTCAGGTTCCTTTGCCGACTTCTCAATAGGCTCGAAAAAGATCACTTCGTCATCCGATTCGGCCTCCTTTGTGTCAGCTTCGATCTTCTCTGAAGCTTTGCTCGGCGCCTGCTCTTCACTCTCCTCGTCCGCCTTTGCCAAGTCTTTATCGAAGACACCGTTTGTCTCTACAACTTTGTTGTTCGGCAGAACAGGAACTTCACATTCTATTTCTGTGTCTGCCTTCTTTGTCTGGGCCTCCTTCGAGTTGGCCTCTGACGTGTTGGCAGCTTCCGTCAACATTTCATCAAGGGTATTCTCTTTGAGCTCTTGGGTAGCTGTCATTTTTATTTCCTTATCCTCTTCTTTATCATCAGGTTTACCAAGCTTCTTTGGCTCAGCATCTTTCGCGGCTGTCTCTGATTTTTCTGCAGCCTCCTTCGCGGGATTATCGGAACTATCTTTAGGCAACTCCGTTGTTGCCTCAGCTGCTAGACATTCATCCGACGAGTCTAGATCAATAATTGATATATCGACCTTTGCCTTATCATTGGCAAGTTCCGCTTTATCATTGCTTTCGTCGGAGGTTATGTCTTCTAGACCATTTTTGCACTCCTTTCGGGGAGTTGGTTCGTCGGGCTTTTTAATTTGCTGATCTGCCAATGCTTCGAACTCATCTGAGCTGGAAATATTTTCCAATGCATCCATGAAGACCTCATCGCTGGAGTTATTGAGGTTCGTCTTTTCATCATCCGCTTTGGACTTATCTGTTTTTGAGATTTCCGAGTCCTCTTCTTTACCAACTACCATATTTTCCTCAGCTAGCACATCCTTTTCTGCTGCTGCTTCATCCTCATTTGCAGCGATATTTTGTTTATTTTCGCCTTTCTCCAAATCCTCTTCCTCTTCTTGTATTTTCTCTTCGGCCTCGACAAGATCGGCGCCCACAGGTTTCTCCACGCTGTTATCGTTCTCCTCTTCCTTTTGCTCTCCTTCGGCGCCGATCTGTTTGGCGGCAGCTTCATCGATCACAATGTTGCTTTTCTCATTGTTATCGATATCGGCTGCGAGCGACTCACTGTCAGCTTCCACAGCTACGCTCTCCTCTGCTGCTTCCTCGTCGACAGACTCCTTGGGATCGCAGTCTACGATCGAACTGATTTTATCCAAAAGAGCATCCAAATCTGTGCCAGCATTACGCTCGCAGGGCAGCGCTTCGCTGGCAATTTGATCGATGCTTTTGCCGATACTATCGATAGACAGCGCTGCCTCAATATCTGGTTCCAGGACGTCTGCTTCCAGGCCATTGTGTATTTCCTCATCGCTGGCTGATTTGCGGCTTTCCACCGTTTTTTTAATATCTGTAAACGATTCGGCTTATTTAAATGCGAATTTATCGATGAAAGTGTTGTACCTACCAGGGGTGGTGAGCTTATCGACTTCATGGTCGAGTTCCTCTGCAATGCTTCTTATAATTTCATCTTCAGTTGCCAGCTCCTTTAGTTCCACGTTTTGTGTTACTTCCATCATATTTGCGCGTTAATATTTTGCCTTTAGTTGGAACACATTGAACTGAGATGAAATGAAAAAATTAGGTGTTTTGTCATTTCATTGGTTTCATTGACGATCCGGCAACACTGAAATCGACAGTGTGGCAACCCTGCGCAGAGGCTATCACACCATATGACCTAGCCCCTACCCCCTACCCCCCCCCCCCACACAACAACAAAACGTTTTATACATCAAATGTAAAATTCGTTTTACAAAACCAAAAACAATTAATTCGTCAATTCCCTCTTTAAGAATTGATGCAGACGAAAAAGCTTTTGCCGGAAGCTTAACGAAAGCTTTTACTGTAATTTCTGTCAGCGATGAAAATGAAAAAGAGCGTTAGTTAAAAAAAAAACAGAAATTTACAATGAACCAAGTCCGGATTTCACTTTTAGACCCTGCTTGAAAATCGTATTACCCAACAAACCAAAAGCCCACTAATAACAATTGACCTTGTAAAATGAAAGGGTTCGATTAAATTTAACTGGCATTTAAAGTTCGGGTAAAGCCTTGAAATATGTTATTTCAAAATTCTATCATTCAAATATTTATATATATATATATATGTATATGTATATATATATATATACGTAAGCACCAACTGATTTTCGTCTGGTGCCTTACGCTATTTCGGTTTCGGTATGTATCTATAAATCTACATGCCTAACCGGTGTGCTTGTCGCTCGGTCGGTCGGTCGGTCGGTTGTTCGGTCGTATTTTGCCGCCGAACGCAACAACAACAACAACAGCGAGAACCGCCGCAGCGCAAGATGACTGCAGCCGAAACACAAATACAAAGCGAACAAGCAAGAGAAATAAGCGTGCATAAAGCAGGAACATATGATAAATATTTGGAGCCAGCGTAGAAGCAAAAACAAGATATGTTGTATGGAGCGTATGGGGACTGGAGCGATATATATTCGATAAATGATATATTTTAGCTTTTACCGCAACAATGTTGGGTGTTAACGAATTTGAGGTTAAGTTGAAGCAATTTTATATAACTATTGAAATTAGGACAAAATCCAACTTACGATAAGCTCAAGCCGTATGGATGCGCCTCGTTTCGATGAGTCTCAATCAATTTGCAGCAATTTACACTAGACTCTTAAGAAATCAAATTATTTGTAACTAGATTTCTGTGCGAGTTCAAGGCAACACTAAACATTGGCCGAAGTGTACGCGAACGCGAACGCAAAAACCAGCTGACGGCGAGACGACGACGACATTAAAAGAGAGCACAATAGCGCTGCGAAGAGAGAGCGAGCGGGAGAGAGACAGGGAGACAAGGTGGAAGAGCGCGAGAGAGGGCACGGCAGGGGCCAGCGACCTAAGTGCTTGGTAAGGGCGTGCCAGATAGGATTTGATAACGTTCTATATGTTTTTTTTTTCCGAACATTTTTAATCAATCTCACTTTCACATCTTCGATGTGCGTGAAATTCTACAGTGCGTGCGACCCCTAGCCAAATGCGCTGTGACGTCAGCATGGCTGGCAAATAAATGTAAACGATTTTGCACACCATCATGCTTGATATCGGGTACTTCTGAAATAGGTCAACTTTTCAGGCAATTTGTGAGCGTAGTTATAGACGAATCGGATTCCCAGCAACAATATTGAAACGAGTTGGCAGCGCTGACGCTTGAAGAACTACCTTCAGGGCGAGGGGTTCGGCTGCAGGGGGTTGAACCACATAACAATTGCTGCTGCAGGGGATCTTCGTCTGTGGTATGGTTTTCCACAGAGTTCCGATAACAATAACAGCAAAATAATAGAAGAAAAACGCAAAACAAAGTAAAAGTAAAGTTGCCATAAATTGCCATTTTATAAACGAGCAATGCTGCCGACTGTGCGAGCGGCAGGTCCGATGCGAGTGAGCTGCGTGCGTGAGCGGGACAACTCTATGTGAAACATTTTATCTGCCAATGGATTGGGGGGGAGTGGGTGGGGGCGACGGCGGATAAATTAAATTATTATTTTCTATAGAAATTAACGACAAAATATGAAAAACGGCATTTGAAAATGAAAACATGTAAAACGGCAAACAAAAACAAATCAAGAGCACACGTTTAGAGAAAGAGACTAAGAAGCAGGGGAACGGTGGAGGGAGGGAGGGAAGGGGGGGGGATAGTTAAGCAGCAATATTGCGGCAATTTGTGCGCTAGTCTAAGATCCGCAGTTTTTGGGACTTGAGAAGATGCAATGTTTTATGCGTTTGCCTAGGACTTTTGGCAGGATACCGGTTTAGTACCAGGTCGTAGGCTTTCAAGACCAGAGAGAGGGAGAGGGAGAGTGAGAGAGCGTAAGAGCTTCAACAGCAAGAGCGAGAGAGAGGGAGAGAGAGAGCTAATGAGTGAGAGAGAGGGAGTGGGAGCGGTACTAGACGTTTATACGAGGTAAAAATATGTATGTATGTACATATATGTAAGTAATCTATATGTAGAAAATAAGAAAAAGAAAAAAAGTTTGCCGAACGACAAACACATTTTGTTCGTGCCGTCGTACAACAACGCGAGGCGTACCGAAAGACACAGCAGCACAGTGAGAAGCAGCAACTAAAACGGACGCAATACAAAAATTGAGGCGTCGGCAGCCATATTTGCCGTCCAAAGTTTGTACTATGTATTGGGAGAAAAAAAAAAAAAAAAAAAACAGGTCTTGGGTTTCGAAATGTCACGATATAGAATCGGTCGGAAACATGATTTGGTTCAGATTCTATCATTATGTTTGGGCTGTACCTCAGTTTCGCCCTGCCTCCCTACCTACCTATACCCTACTTTAGTTTTATTGCTCTCATCTTGTTTGTATGCGCTTTACATATAGACAACAAATAAATAAATAAAACAAAGCTACCTGATTAATTGTCTCTGCATAGGCGTCTTTATATATGTTGATGTCTTTTTCGTAGTAACATAACTATGTTTGGACTTGTTTTGGGAGTTATGTCTATTATAGCTGTTTCGCTCTTGCATGCAAGCACATACTCATACATTCACGCACACATGCATACCTAAGTTCGCTTAAGTAGAACTACGTGTGTGTGTGTGTGTATGTGTGTTCGTGTATGTATAACAAGGTTTGTATGTGTATAATATTTTGCAGCGCATTCACATTCTTTTTAGGTTACGTATCGATTTTGATACAAAGTGAGGTTAGTTTGAAAAACATCTAAGTTCCGGAGAATATTACGGATCCATGGGTCTTAAACCAATATTGGATTACATTATTATGGGAATATCATTTGATCCTAGATATCGGCGGCTAAGTTAACTGCAAGCGCAAGAGTAAAAGCAAACGGGGCAACAATTTAATTTTATGATTGTACAATTTAATGTTTTTAGGGCTGCCAAGTGCTAGCAAAGCATTATTTTGAAGTAAAGGTAGTTTTCGTTATCTATGCGCAAAGGTATGGGCGTTATTGTATGAATGTACATGTAATTATGGTGCACATGGTATACAATAGGGTTGCCATCTCCACAAATTGTCATACATATGCACAGCCTATGCTTGAGGTTCAAGGACAAACATACACATGTGCACTCCAAAAGCCGCACTCAATGTTTACATTTTATAATAAAAGACGACAAAGTTGAGACATTTATAGTTTTACCGGCTGCGTTGCAGCCACCTGACAACCCTAAAAACGCAAACAAATGCTAAAAAGTCTCTCTACATATTCGAAATCAAAAATTTATGTGAATACGTTGGAAAACCCCTTAAAACCATGCATATATATATGAGATGGTAATATAAACAATAATAATAACAATTATACCATGTAAAGTTAAGATCTGGCAACAATCTTATGTACTTAACATTAACTTACCTGTGTGTATATGTATTTGGAAAGTTGCTGTTCTTGTTTTTAGCATATAGATTATAACGTAACGTTTATGAAATGCCCTACGTAGTTAGGATTTCAATAATTTAAACGGTTTTTTTGCGATTTGTTTACACCGTGCAGAGAACCACCGCCCTGAACAACTGGAATACCAAACACAGACTAAATCAGAGCAGACAACAACAATTTGTGAGGAGCTGCGAACCAGTTGCGCTGCGGCTAGTTCCTGAACGTCAAAACTAGCTCGCAGGCAAGACGACAAATGAACTATAAACAACTTAACACGAACAACATCTGTAAGTTGTAGGCATGGACAATACAAAGTGAAGTTTTAATTAAAAATTGATTAATGAATAAATTTTAATAATTGGCATATAATTGAGCTTATAACTGGTTAAATTTGATTCATTTGATGGATTTAAGGCACTGAATAACAAATACATATTATTTTTACTGGCCAATAGTCATTGGTATTAGTTCAAATTATTCAAGAAGCGAATCAGTAAATAATTGCAAAATAGTTTTGCACGTAATTAGGGCTTACCTCTTCCGATACGGCATCAATTGCATTTCGAACTGCAGTTCAAAGTTCCACAACACTGACTCATTTTACTGAACAGCCCCTGAAAAAGAGTGTGCAAAAACCAGTTCACACGCGAACGAACGAACGATCAAAAACGAAACAAACAAAAACATCTGTGCGGCTTGTAGGTTAGTTTGGTTTTATAATAAATGCCGTAAACAAAGTTATCAGTTAAGATGAGCAATTTGGTTAATTTTGCGCTCAGACACGGCGCCAATTTCCTGAAAAGACACACATTGCAAAGCCTACGCTGCTCGTTGACACCGAAAGCCAGTAAAGTGCCGGCTCCTACTGCGCCCATCAGATCCAATTCGACACGAGCTGCCTTTGATGTGAGCACAAATGTGCCGAAAGATATTGTGCTGTTCAAGTATGAGAATCCAAGGTTCTATCAGATGCTCAACTTTTTCGGCGTGTGCCAGTTTGTGTTCTGGACATATCTGTCGCACTTCGCCTTTACGACGCTCAAAGATGCGCCAGTTGTCGAGAAGCCTGGCGAGGAGCTGAAATGGTTTCAGCGCATAAATCTGGGCGAGAACAAGTACAAGAATGGCATTACAATATGCAGCTTTATGATTGGTGAGTCGACACAAAAGTAAATGCTGCACAGTACTCAGGATTGTATTAATCTCTCTAGGCTATGGCATTTTGTTTGCCGTTTGGATGTTTACGCTGCGCTCCGTGCGGTTTCTCATCCTGCGCAAGGGCGGCCAGAGCGTGTCCTTTGTGACCTACGGTCCGTTCAATCGAAATCGTATTATGACCGTGCCGCTGAAATGCATCTCGGCGCAGGAGTCACGGGAAATGGCGCGCGTGCAACTGCCCATTAAAGTTAAGGACAAGACGCTTTACTATGTGCTGGATATGCGCGGCGAGTTCCGCAATCCCCAACTGTTCGACTATACCGCGGGCCTCAAGCGACGCATTTGATGTGTTTTCAGTTTTGTTTTTTTTTACGGTTTACTTATTATTTGTAAATATACACATGTAAGCTAATTTAAACATAAACGCTGGCTTAGTAGATGGGCTCCGGCTTCTGTGTGAGCAGCAGACCAAAGCGCTTCTTGATAGTAAGGCGCTGGCGTGAATACTTGTCCTCGGGCGAGAAACGCGCTGGATGCGCGGACAAGGTGGGACGGCCGTCCTCCGTGCGTTTCTGCAAGAAAGCGCAAACAGCTGAGCTGCATTCTTTATTTCCACATGCTATAACTAACCTTCAACGTGTAAACACGATCGCCGTTTTCGTTAATTGTGTACATGAGATACATTTTGAATAAAATTTATAAAATGTGCGTCTTTTTCACAATAAATACAAACACGTGTGGCTTGCAGTGCTGTGCAACGATAAGTGCTGAGAGCTGTGCCTATCGCATTGGTTAGACGTAACTATCGATTGTGAAGTCACGCAGTTTCTAAATCAACTCTATCGATAAGTAAATATACAATGCATAATAGCGTTATGCAGCACTATTAAAAATTGTTTTATTGCAAGTTGGCGCCCAATTTTGTTAAGATTTGCATTTATATATTCGTTAAAATGTCAAACAAAGCGGACAAACTGCTTAAACAGGCCATCAAGGAGCAGCAGAAACGCATGAAACCCGCCGAATGCCAGAAATATGTGCGCTTGGTGCTGGACGCGGGCCTGCTGCGCATTGCATGGGGTCAGGAGCTAATTGGGAAGTTAAACAATACGGACTTGAAGTACGAAATACGCACATTGCCCGCCCGCAATTGCATTATTTGGGAGCGCAATGTGGGTCAACAGACGCTTGCGGCGGGCGCCGCACTGGAAGATGCCTGGCACATGGAGCAACAAGTTTTGGTGATCTTCACCGAAACGGACTTTCAACGGGCGCTAAAGGAACAGAATCTGGCCTGCATCGGCCCCAAGTTGCACGATGCATTTCCCGCAGCCGATTGCCAATTCACGGTGGTGGTGCCACGTCTACGCCAGAGCAAACACAGCGCCGGCAGCAGCGAGGCGGATGCGCTGATTGAGCTGCAGCTGCTGCAGCAGCTGCACGTGGAGCAACTGGCTCAGCCCCAATGCCAGGAGCTGCTGGCACTGCTGCAGCGCTACACAAAGGCCATCGCGGAGAAGCCCTACAAGCAGCAGCGTCAGGCCATACTGGGCAGCTTCAAAAAGTACCTGGCCAATGACAACAAACAGTGCGTGCGCGTGGAACAAGGCAACGGCTATGGACGCCTCTGGCAGCAGCACCTGAACAGATTGCCGCAGGTGACGCTGGAGGTGGCGGAAGCCATCATTTCGCAATATCCCTGCCCGAAGCGCATGCTGGAGCACTTTGCGAATGATGCCCAGGCGGTGCAAACGCTGGCGGATGTCAAGATCAAGCGCAGCAACGGGCCACAGCCGCTGCAGTCGGAAAGGCGCATTGGCAATGTGCTGACCAATAAATTGTATACCCTGTACAATGCTAGAGATCCGAATACATTGATTTAGGTATAGATTTAGGCCGTTTATTCAGCTGCTCAGAATTTACAATCGATCGTTTATGTGCTTAAATAATATTTATTTATATATGTACAGTTTTCTATTTCGTTAGATAGTATATATTAAAAATCACAATATTTTTATACGCGTGTCTCTTAAAAATGTACATAATTGTTTAATTAGTTTAAGTTCTACACCTGAACAATTTGTTGATAGATATTTCGATTTGGCGCGTAGAAAATACTATTTAAAATTACGGATTTTCGATTTTCTAAATTAATAAAAATTCTATACGATATTAATTCAAAATAAACTAGGCATATTAGGTTGAACTTTCCAACTTGAATGCGCTCGAAAAACATATGTGTACCTATCATATACAAATGAGAGCTACGTATTTGACAGAGGATTTTTACATAAATAAAGAGATGGGTTTGGGTGCCAATGTGAAAGTCAGTTCGTCGCATCTTTCTACAGCGTGGCCAGAATGCGAAAGAAGCCCAGGCAGGCCGAGAAGATGGTCTGTCCGACGCCCCAGAAGAGAGCATAGATCGGCGACATGGGCAGGCTGGAAGCGCGATGGACAAATGCGATCACAGCGCTGCTGATGATGCCGCTGCTCGCGGGCGATACAAATCCCATCACCAGTATCAGTATGGAGAAGAAGCGTCCAAACTTGTGCCGGCGCAGCGTCACAAATGCCACCAAGGCGGCGCAGGTGTGTATAAATATCGATGAGAAGAAGGCCCACAGAAAGACATGGTACCACATCTCGCGGAACGTGTTGAGCCGCGCCTGGGAGCGCAGCCCAACCACATCGACAATGGCGTCCAGCTCATCGGTATCGATGGGTTCCGAGTACATGGCCAGCAGGATGGGCAAGCAGTGAGTGTAAATGTATCTATAATCCTGAATTCGTAGAATTTTGGCTACAATTATTGGAAGTACCCAGTGATGGTTGTTGTTGATGTTGTTTTAGTTGCTATTAAATACGTTTAATTATTGCTTTTCCGTTGCTCCGACGTCGAGTTTTGGTCATTTGTATTTTGTTGCTGCTGTTTTTTAGCTATGGTTCGCGTCGGTCTGATTAATGTGCAGCTGGAAAGTGTAAATAAAGCACTGTGCATTGTAGTTAATTGTGTTGGGCATTGTCAAGGAACCTGCAATGGACGATGGAAAGAAGAAAGCACGTTTCAGTTTTGTTGACCTTTTGGCCTTTTGCATGCTACTCACACACACATACACACGCACGTACATACGTACGTACGCACACAGACATACACTAACTAAGTTTGATCCTTGCGTGCGATCCGTACCCGTTCCAGTCGCTCTTATAAGCTTAGTATGTTGTTTTGCCCTTGTGCGCTGAACAAATATTTTGCTTTGTTTTCTTTTGGCGCAGGCCAAACGGGAATCGATTAAAAAGGCCACACCAAAATAGCACTTGCAGCGGCAGTGATTCACCAACTCCTAGCTGGGGTTTCTTGATTAACTATTTAAAGCACATCGCGTTATTTAGTATATTGTGTCGTTATGCACAATTGATATACACTTGATTAAATACTTAAATATTTTAATTATTGTTCGTTTTTCTTCGACTGCGTTCTATTTTACATGGCAACGGAGCTGGAACGCTTTGGTATATGAACACGCTTGATAAGCTGTCAACTCAGCTGTTTTGTGCACATATCGATGTGTTTATATCGCACGTCTAGCCCAGCTGTTGCTTATATCGATTTGCGTACATCGTTTGCATGGCACATCACTAGCTGGAATGCTGCTGGGGCAGCTGTTTTTCGCGTTGCGTGCTGTGTGATTTGTGCTTGTGTGCGTGTCTTCATACATATTCTTTGCGGCCGGAAAAAATCTCAAAACTCGCTGTGAAATAAGAAATAAAAATCGTGTTTAAACTAATAAAAAGTAGCTAAAACTTAATATGAATAAGGAGCATGACTATGCCTCGGATAGCGATGAAAGCGACGAGGATTTTTGCCTAGAAAATGAAGCTGATGCTGATTCCGGTGAGGAGGAGGAGGAAGACGACAGCGAAAGCGAATTTGACGACGAAAACGACGCCGAATCAAGCGAAAAACCAAGCAAAGCTGCAAAAGGCAAAAAGAAAGACAAAGTAAAGCAAAAGTCAATTGACACCGACAGCGGTGCTGGAGCTAAACGTAGCACGCGTCAAACGGAGGCCAAACAAAATGGACGCGAAGTTGCGGAAAAGGACGAATTGGAATCAGACGAGGAAGCCGACAAATCGCGCTCCGATGCGCTCTGGGCCGACTTTCTGGGCGATGTCGGTGCCAGCAGCAAACCCCCCTCAAAGTCCAAAGAGACGCCGTCGCCCGCCAAGCCGACAGATAGCGGTAAACGCGCAGCGCCGGCCGCCAAGCAAGTAACGGAAGTTCTTGATTTTGCCGGCGAACCGGTAACCGTGACCAAAACCATCACTAGTTCCAGTTCCAGTTCCAGTGCTAAGGAGAACCAAGAGCAGCCGGCAGCGGCAAGCCCTAAATCTCCAGCGCCTCGCGCCTTTGGCGCTGCCAAGCGCGCAGCCAATGGAGGGGCCGGCGGCGGCGGCGGCGGCTTGGGCTCTTTGCTCAATCAGCTGGGCAAGAAGAAGAAAATGTCAGTGTTGGAAAAGTCACAGCTGGATTGGAAGTCCTTTAAAAGTGAAGAGGGCATCGATGAGGATCTGCGTACACACAACAAAGGCAAGGATGGGTGAGTACTTTTTTTTTTGTCGACTTTACCATGCTAAATTCTTGAATAATCGAATTCCTTCCGTTGCAGTTACTTGGAACGCCAGGACTTTTTGCAGCGCACCGATGTGCGTCAATTTGAGATCGAGAAAAGCTTGCGGCAAACGCGACGTTCAAACTAAAACACGCCGCATCCACATCCTGCAAGTTTTCCACTTTCCAACACACACACATTCACACTTGCTGTCCACACATTCGTACACGTCTTATATTTAGGATAGTGCGTATGCCTAACAATAAGTTATATAAATATATATATACATATATATATATATATATATATCTACATCCGTAATGCTGTTCCAAGGCACTATCGAATCGTATAATACATTCAACTGAACTATTTTAAAATGTGAACGCTGTAGACATCGAAGGGAAAACAACAAAATTATGCTAATGTAAGGAGAGATCAGGAGCTGTGCGGCTATAATTCCCAAATGGTTTAAACGCACGCGCTGCAATGTAGCCGGATAAGGATAGAATTGTATTGATATTCATTCCGCTTCGACGACGCCCACGCGCTTCGCATCGCTGCGAGTTAAATGCAAAAACAGAGCTCCGAGTATACAACCGAAGCTTCCCAATCCAATGGACAGCCATCTAAACCAATTATTGGCATTTAATACGCTGTACATAAAAGAAAATGGGCTAAGCACCAAAATTGTAACTTCCAAATGTCTCCCAAAAACTTACGCAAATATCTTTTTGTGCAGCAGCTGAGTAATTTTTTCGTCCAGCTGCAGCGACTCCTCGATCCAAAAGAGCGGCATGGCCAAAGGACGCAGCTGCGACATCAATGGCACATCCTTCACGGGCGCCACTTTCAAACTGAACTGCAGGCGATTATGCACGGCGAGCACTGTGCCGGAAAACTATACAAATCAATGGATATTACTTTGGCATTTACTTGAGTCAAACAAAGCTTCTTGTTACCTGCTCGAAGATCAATATGCTGGCATGTTTCACAGCTGTGGGCTGCAGTCCTTCAACTTCAGCCAATAACTTTTGGTCCGCATGATAAAAGTGCGGCAAGGAGGCCATTAAAGGTGTGCCGCTGCAGCGTACCAGATCCATGGTGCCATCAGCCGGACAATCGTCGGGATAGTCCGTGCAGTAGCAGTGCAAATCCGGCTCCGTCTGGAAAAATATTTACTGTTACTGTAAGTTTTTAAAACTATTTTCATTTTGATTTTTGTCGGGTGAATATTGAATTTATTTATTTTTATTAATATTCCCTGTGGTTTAGACTTGTTTTAGGCTTTCTTTTATGTTTATGAGTTTTTATGTTTTGCATTTATTTCCTATGTTGGGCAGATTTATATATATATTTAACGGATTTATCATTCGTTATAAAGTTTTATCTTGATTTTGTGAATTTTGTGAAATTATTTTCGAAATTTTATTCCCATTTAATTACATATGAAATTTATTTCTTTTATTGTTAATTATTTTATTAATATTGATTTTTGAGGTAGTTTTTTTTTCTCACTTAAAAACAGTCTCTGGAGTTGTTTGAAATTCCTTTTTTATACCCTGAACCCATTAAAAATGGGTATAAGGGTATATTGCACTTGTGCAAAATCCAAATGTATGTAACAGGCAGAAGGAAGCATCTCCGACCCCATAAAGTATATGTATTCTTGATCAGCACCAATAGCCGAGTCGATCTAGCTATGCCCGTCTGTCTGTCCGTCTGTCTGTCCGTCCGTATGTATGAACGCAAGGATTCAGAACCTATAAGAGCTAGAGACTTGAAATTTGAAATGTAGGTGCTCCTAGTGCCTGCGCAGTTCGAGTTTGTTTCCGATAATCGATAACTTGCTTCGTTTCCAAGCAATCGATAAAAATCGATATCGATATCCTGTTTTTTGGGCAATTTTGGTAAATAATAAGAGCTAGAGTCACCAAACTTGACATATAGCTTCTTAAATAGAATATATATATGCATTTGATGTTGGAAGAAGAGGGTTCAGGGTATCCCCTAGTCGGGAGCTCCCGACTAGAACCTCTTACTTGTTTATGTTTGCAAGCTTGATTCAATTTGATTTGTCTTGTGATTTGGAATTTCTTATATTTTGCACTTATGAGATTTTCTTCTAAGAATATTTGGATGTGTTATATTTTAATTATTTAATGTAATAGTTGTTGTTGCATAACTTACGCGTGCCGAGCCAAAGTTAAGCTCATAGCGTTGAGCTGGCAGCTTGTTGTACTTTGTCCTGCCCATCCACTTGGGCGTCAGGGAGCGGCACAGTTGCGGCGAGAAGCTCCAGAGACCCTGCTCCGGTCGCATAAGAGGCGCAAAGATGGTGCCATCTGTGCCGCGCAAGCGATTGCAGCTGGTGTTGTTCAGCTCCGGCCAGATGTGCAGCTGCTTCGCCTCATTGAAGGCGAGCACACGCCCCACGGACGACTGCCGCGATCTGCTGCGTGAGACCTTAAAGTGACCGGCATTTGTGTGATTGCCCTGAAAACATGAAAAAATGAAGTAAATTATTAAAGGAAACACTGGGCATATCCAGTTGACTTGCCGCGCCCATCAGGGAGAACTTGTAGTGGGTGGCATTCACTGGCAGCGCGCCAGGCACTGCGCCCGCTTGGAACTGCTGGCAAATGGCCTGTGCAGCCGCATGCTTCTGGTCGCAGTTGACATCGATGCCATCGTAGAAGAGATCCTTGAACTTGGCTGTAATAAAAGCGCTCTGCGGCTTGAAAATGATGTCCAGGCCCAGGGCCACAGCTGCCTGTGTCTCGGCTGGCTGCTCCAAGTTCGCAATCGTCATGAACTATGTGGAACCTCTTGTAGATCTTGTCAAGAAAAGCTTCTGTTTCTGGCTCACCTGCAGCAGTGGATGCGGCATAGTTATGAGCTCCTCGCCGCTGAGACCCAGATCGGCGCGCGTTTGAAATGTGTTGCGCATATTGAAGCTAATCGCATTCTCCGCTTCTATATCCATTAGTTCATACTTGTCCTTCCACTCGCTGAAAAAAATTGGCATTTATATGGAATGTCCATTTGGGGTTCGTGTCTGGCTCACTCGTATACAAATGGACCCACTTCCTGTAGCTTCGGCTTGCCGCCCATTTCAATATCTTGCGCATTGGTCACGTTGAATACGTAGATCTTGAATGTTAGGGGAAATGGCATTTTCTCCCATAGCTGACGCGTTTCACTGCCAGGCTTTAGATTGACACTCTGTGGAAATGGTCCTGTAATATGTATATCGTAGATATCCTTTATGTCTGCACTCACCCGCTTAACTAGCTCCTTGAACAGCAAGGGAAACGCCAGAAATCCTATGAGTGCCCCGAGGAGCAGTACCACAAAGGACACAATAATTACCTTAAGATACATTTGTCAGCTCAACGTTTCGACGACGTTTGAGCAACTTGTTCTCGAACTGGCCTCATTTAAAACGTTACGTGTCACATAAGTTTGGCATTTTTAATGAGACTTTTATAAAATTTTAATGGTACCACACGAAAAGGCAGAAACTGGCAACAGACACAGGTCCCTTCAAATTTATTATGCACGCTAATTTGACACTGAATTTTTATGAAAAGTAAACAAGCTGCGTCTAATTAAGAGTTGACCCAGTTTATTTCGGATATTTTTTGTCTTAAAGCCTTTATTAAGTAATCTATGTATTAATTGCATTCCCCAGGATTTTAAGCAATATTTATCATAAAATATGTATTAGCTGTGACTCGGAGCAACAGGTGTGAAAACTTGATTCAGACAGCCTATACAACAACCGGCTGAGTAGCTGATGTGGCTTGTGTCTTGGCTGTCTAACAGTGGTGGCAAAATTAGTCGTTACAAACGAAAATGAGCAATTTAGCCCACAAAATATTTTATTTAACAAAAAAAAAACTCGAAAAATTCCATCTAAATTCAAGGAAATACTAATCAAATTTGTTGCAGTTTTGCAAATAGATATTTTGGCTTAAATATTCGTAGCTTTGTCATAAATTAGGCAATGAGCACGTTCGTGAACGGGCTCGTAATCGTAAAATATTTTCATGATTTATAATTGGACGTGTACCCAAGTCGTAGTTAGACTCAGGCGCTCAGAATATAAACAATAAAATCAAATTGAATATTACATATTTGCTATTTTATACACAACTCCATATAAAGTACCAAAATCTATATGCGTAACTGCCGTTTATGAAAAGTGCAGAGAAAGGCGTGATTTAAAAGAGATTAAGTATGAGAGAGCATGTAAAAAAGGAGGGAGTAAAAGAGAGAGAAGATTTGTGATAGACCGTCAAAGATGTGGAGAAACGGAAAGTAAGAATGACTTATGTAGAGAGTAAGGAGAGAATAACTTTAAACTTTAACAGCTATGATTGCAACACAGCTTGCTTTATTAGATGCGTCTAAATTGAAATGTCTTACTTGAGATTATGAAAATCGCAAAGACGCTTTCTAAAAGACATTCGTTATGAGAGAACAAGTGGGCATAGATCAAGAATGCAAGAGAAACAAAAGAAAAGAGAGTGAGAGACAACAGGAACAGCGAGTATTAAATATCTCTATTGACAGTAATAATGATATAGAAATAAAAGAACAAAGAACAGAGAAGAGAATAGCTTTAAGCAGTTTCATATAAATCTGAAAACCTCATTACTTCAGATTATGAAAATCGCATAGAAAGGCGTTCAGTTCTGATAGAACCCTCTTTCCAAATCCAAATACATTGCTCTGCTATCTAAATAAATACCTGTTGAAAGTAATAAAAATCACATATCGATTTCACATTTAGGCCATTTAAAGACATTTATTATTAAATTTGGCATTTGGAATATGATCAACATAACATATAAAAGCCGCAGCGTAGAGCAATTGGCTAAAACTGAAAACATCTGTTGCACGTAGCATCGCGCATATGTAAATACTAATCTATATGTATATATATGTATATAGTTTCTTTAGGTATAAAATTAGGACGTTCATTTATATAAAACTATGTATATTTATGCAAAAAATTTATACATTTAAATTTCACTAAGTTTTTTATGCTTGAGAAGGACAACTTTTAAAACTAGAATATCTAAAATAAATTTGTACAGTTTTCATATGTTGAAGATACGCAACTGAATATGTATGTATATATATATGTATATGGAGCTTGTATATGATATAAATCAGTCAAGAGTACGGGTACAATAGGATCTTGAGAGGAAAACCCACACACACACACACACACACACACACACACACACACACACACACGCACACACACGTAATTGTTTAGCTAATCTGCTTGAGAGATTCGTTTTGCCTTCTAGTCGAGGTCCACCTCCTTGAAGAGCGTTTGGCTCTCCGCCTCGCGAGTGAGCGGCATTGCCGCCTGATCCTCGTGTATCTCATCGATCTCCAGCTCCTTGAAGGATGTCTGGCTGATGGCCTCGCGTGTGCACAGCACCGTCATGGGTTCCTCTGCGGCCTGCTCGCTTGTGGGCGGCAGCGAAATGCCCGCGGACAGCATGTGTGTGCCCGAAGTGCTGCAGGATTGGGGAAAAAAGAAGCAATCGATTAGTCAACTGAATAAGTTTCGGTCTCTCGTCTGGGCACACTTACTTCAGGGAATAGGTGGAGCGGTAGAGCGGCGGCGGCGTGTTCATGCGGACGGCGGCATAGGCCGCCTGCGGGGGATGGGCGCTCGGATGATAGACGAAGGCGTATTCATTCAGCGAGGTCAGATACGAAGGCGGCGGCGGCCGATGCTGAAACTCCGGATAGAGATAGCTGCCCGGCAGCAGGCGATTCGTGCAGTGCGGACTGTTGCAGTTGCGGCAGGTCTCCATGCGCCGGAAGCAGGGGCAATCGTCGACATCGTCGGGCAAGCTGAGACGCCAAATGGCGCCCGAAATGACCAGCAGCGAGACGCCGATGCCAATCATCAGCAGCGCCGCGCTCAGATACTGCGTGGAGTGCTCTATCAGGCCCGTGGAGCCCAGCACAATGCCGCCCAGCGTGCAGGCCACGCCGCCCAGCGCAAAGATCCCGATGACAAACGGCAGCGAGGGCCGCGCAAACCATTTGCGAAAACTGTAGCCCAGCGGAGCGCCGGCCAGCTCGGCACCATCCGGAGCGCCATTTGCGCCGGCAACGGCCGAGATGTTCAGGTTGTTGCTGGCCAAAGGGCTGGCAACATCGCCGCTGCCACCGGCCAGCGGTACAGCCACGTCCAGGAGCGTTCTGTAAGTGCAAGAAAATGGCAATTCATGAGCATACACTGTGCGAAAAAATTGGGCAGATATTTCAGTTATTGGATGCAAACATTTTGTGGCAGCAGCAGACAGTTTGTCTTAGTTGAAAGGGCATTAAAGCGCTCGACTTGGGATTTTGTCAATTTAAATTTATAATTGGAAAAACTTATAAAATAGTTATAAAAAATATATCGTGGTCACAGCGGGGTCAGTTTAGGGTATTAAATTTGATATCTCGAGCACACTGTAAAATATTTATAAAATAATATACAAATTTTAGTATTAAGATAGCCTTGTCTTGGCCTCCTTGGCGGACAAGGATTTGGGCTTAAATGCCAGGCCAGAGTTAGATGTGGACTTTCTTATGACCTTTGAAAATAACTTAAAGCGATCAAAAATTGGCAATATATAATGTATACCCTGTAAAAAGGGTAATAATGTATAATGTTTGTAACAGGAAGGAAGCATCTCCAAACCCATAAAGTATATATATTCTTGATAAGAGTATATTTTCTTAGTCTGACTGTGAACTCAACGATCTCAGAACTCATAAGAGCTAGAGGCTTGACTATGCTCTCCTATAATCAATAATCGATAACTTGCCCTGTTACCAAGCAATCGATAAAAACCGATATCGAAATCTTGATCAAATGTCTTAGGTTTTCAGACCTAGAGAAAACAAACTTGATATGTACCCTTTATAGAATACCTTATACAGATGAAGTATCTTTCATTGCTGCATTTGGTGTTGGTAGAAGGTTCAGGGTATACCCTAGTCGAGCATTCCCGATTTGAATAACTTTTCGATTTGACAAACTTCCTTTCGCTCAGTGTTCGTTCAGGCTTTCTTGACTGCTGCTACCTGAGTTCAGTTGCCCAGGTAGCCGGGGTCTAGTTTTCTTTGGTTCACATTACATCATAGGAAGAGCGGATCCTTTTGTCTACCACATGTTACGCAGCGTCAACGCGTCCTTTGCACTTATCCCCTAACTGTGTGCACTTCTCCTTCTCTCACACCCTTGTCACTGCTGCCCTTTGTCTGGCCCTCAAATCTATGATTTGGAACACACACACACACGCACACATGCACATTTGTTGTTGTCCAGTTTGTGCCTGCATAAATTTTGGAAAAAATCTTTGGTCTGACACATTGCACCTGCCTGGTCCTGGCCGGGTTCCGATCCTGGCATACCGCTCGCTGTGCGTGTGCGTGGTCCATTTGATTTTTAGAACTATCTTGGCAGCTGTTTCTCATTTGATTTGCTGTTTGCTTTTGTCTTTTTCCTCATCTGTTTTCTTTGTATCTTAGTTTTTATCATTTTGTATCTTGTTGGGACGTTTTTTTTTTTGCTGTGCCTCAAACAAAAGCGACTTGCTGCAGGTATTGCATACCCCTACCAGGTTTAATTTATTTTCGTGTACATGTTACATTTGCAGAGCCATAAATTCGGTATCAAATGTTTAGTTTTTTATTGCTGTTTGAAATATTAAAACACGATAAAACTATGAAACCTGCAGCTTTCAAGGTGTGAAAATAAATTTTAGTTGCATCGTAAAACCAAATATGCGCATAAATCAACTGAGGGCCAGACGGCCAAAAAAGGAAGCGGTAAGCCATAAAAATTAAAGGAAATCGTTTGAAAAGCCCTAAAAAATATTTGTACATATACACACAGAACGGAAAGGAGTTGGGCGCTTGAGATTTCATTTAAATACAAACGCCAAACAGCTGCGGGCGGCGGCGAGAATTGGCTGCCCCAATCAACTCCCAAAACTAATTCCGAGACGAGAGACGTCACACTCAATTGTCTGCAATTTGTCATCGAAAATCTAAAAAAAAAAAAGCATAGAATGGAACCCACAGAAAAATGTATAAAAAAACAAGGAAAACTAAACAGTTAATTAGGCAATGGGAAACTTTGAATGCCCTGTAAAATGTTGCGGCTATGTTAGCTACTGGAGTAAACACGTTATTTATATAGAGGGATTTATAACTATGTCATGAAATGTTAAATGCACAGAAGGCGACATCAACCGAACGCATAAAGTATATATATTCCAGATCAGCGTCAAGCATATATAGCTATGTCCGTCTGTCTGCCTGTCTGTTTCCATGCGAACTAGTCTCTTAGCTTT